GGAAACACAGAATATCAAGTCAAATACATTAAATGATGTTGTTCAAACTTTAAAGTTGATACCCGCAGGTTCAATGTTTCTAAGCCAGATATATGATTTACGTCATTTTTTACATATAAATTTTTAAAATTCATGATACGCTTGATATATTATTTTCCATAGAAAAAAAAAAAGCCCTATACATGTTTTTTTTTCTAATTTCTACTCCCCCCCCCCCCTTTTTAAATTTTTTTGTGTGTTTGGTTATACAAAATAATACAAGCAGACAAAAAGTAAATAAACCACCTCAAAACCTTATAAACTTTAGGCATGCAACAGAAAACATGTCTATTCCTTTTTCTTGTTGCAGCATAAATTAAAGTGCCTTCTGTCCATGTACAATCATGCATGTAGGGGAAAAATCATGAACATTTTCCTTTAAAATAGCAGGGCCACATTAGTCATACTAATATTCAGAATCTCCATGTAGTTTAGATTAAATTTGGTTATGTCATGGGTCTTTGGGCCTAGGATGGACCCACAAGTTTTCATGGGAATGTAGAAAAGAAATCTTTCAAAAATAACCTTTTGAAGAGCAGCAATAACGAAAGTGACTCAAATGAGCATTGTGGCACTTATGCTTATTGGTATGATTTTTAGAAGAAAAAAAACTTTTTTTCTACCTACCTACCCATTGTTAAAAATCTGGGTCAGAAAAGGGCAAACAACAATTTTTTAATTTTGGCCTAAGTCTTAATACATCTTAATACATTCATCACTACATAGAACATCTAGTGTAAATCTTAATACATTCATCACTGTATAGAACATCTAGTGTAAGTCTTAATACATTCATCACTACATAGAACATCTAGTGTAAGTCTCAATACATTCATCACCACATAGAACATCTAGTGTAAGTCTTAATATATTCATCACTGTATAGAACATCTAGTGTAAGTCTTAATACATTCACCACTACATAGAATGTCTAGTGTAAGTCTTAATGCATTCGTCACTACATAGAATGTCTAGTGTAAGTCTTCATACATTTGTCACTACATAGAACGTCTAGTGTAAGTCTTAATACATTCACCACTACATAGAATGTCTAGTGTAAGTCTTAATGCATTCACCACTACATAGAATGTCTAGTGTAAGTCTTCATACATTTGTCACTACATAGAACGTCTAGTGTAAGTCTTAATACATTCACCACTACATAGAATGTCTAGTGTAAGTCTTAATACATTCACCACTACATAGAATGTCTAGTGTAAGTCTTAATGCATTCGTCACTACATAGAATGTCTAGTGTAAGTCTTCATACATTTGTCACTACATAGAACGTCTAGTGTAAGTCTTAATACATTTGTCACTACATAGAACGTCTAGTGTAAGTCTTAATGCATTCGTCACTACATAGAATGTCTAGTGTAAGTCTTCATACATTTGTCACTACATAGAACGTCTAGTGTATAAAGTCTTCTTGCAAATTTGGAAAATTTTAGGCTAATTTATTTTTGAGAATTTTGGTCAAAATGTTTAATATCTAAATTTTGTGAATTTATCTATGTGCTTAAGAAAAAAAAATTCCTACTAAAAATGTAGTACAAGAATAAAACCATGTAAAGCCTTCTGGTGACTGGTCATCTCCACACAGAATATCTAGAGTAAGTGTTGCTGCATCGACTTCCCTTGGATCTAAAATAAAATAAATTGAAATTTCTAGTATATCTCTCAATTATGTTGCCATCAATTCAACATTGTTATCATTTAATAAGGCCATGATAAATTACTTGAATACTTAATTTGCAATGTACTTTCCCAATGTAAGTACTGTAAATTGCTTTTTATTTGCGAGAACTTTATTTTTGCGTAATTACGTGAGACTGTCTGCTCATGAAAATTTTTTTTTCACATATATTTGTAAATGTTTTTGTATCATTTAAGATTATATAGAACAATAACCAAAACTTGTGAAAATTTTGTCTTACTTACAAATACCAAACAACTATGATCTCACAAAAATAAGGTGTGTCGTAAAAATTTAGTGATCTACAGTAAGCAACAATGATTTTTCTTCGTAATTTGTTCGTTTCTTTGACCATTTTCCTAGGAGTAAATCGCTGGTTCTTTATTTAGAAGTTTTTATTAAAATTGAAAATTTAAAAACAGCAAAGTTTCATTCTTTTTTTCAGAGCACTAATAGGCAAGACGTATGAAAACTACAGGATAAATGACAGGAGTATATCTAAGGAGCAGGAGGAGGTAGGTATAATGAGTACACCAGTACTGACCAGCTGACCAGCAAGGACTGAAAAATCAAGTTATCATGACTGTTGTTTGCAAACTGCCAAAGTAAAACCAGTTTGTGACCATCAATATTTTTAATTTGCTTACAATATACAATAACATCTAACAGAATGGACTGGTGCCTCAAATATTCTCAGATATTTTTTATTCATTTTTATTTATAAATTTATTCATGTTCCCATACAGTCATATGTTAGTTTCATCTTAGTAGGCATTCAGAGTCACATTCTCTGCATCCAGTATGATTTTCAGTTAAACAGTTCCACATTTTAGAAGTCTTAGTGAATGTATACATTTGGCACAAAGAGTACAAAAAATATAATTTTTCTCATATTTTCTTCTCCTTATAGGTTCGTTACCTTCTGTTTTTCTGTGCCAGACAGACACTTTCAAATTCGCTAAAACTTCTGGGAATACATCCAATGAAGAAAGTCTGAAAACAAGGATTTCAAAAGAGAGAGGGTGAGAGAGTGTGGTTTGTGTGTGTATACTTATGTGTATGTATGTTTAAATGAGAGAAAAATTATAAAAAGACACTAATAAATGATTTGAAAGTACAACGCATAGGTATTTGTTAACTATTTATTACGGTTTATATATCGGATACCACGGATATGTAAATGAATTTGCACCAGTATAAAGTGTACATGTATGTTAGATCATTCATGTTTGTATGCAGGATCTCTCAGAAAGATGTGAATAGATGTAAAACATCAAAGGAAAAGTGTGTACTAGAAGTACTGCACCTTTACTGTTTTTTTTTTTTTTTGCAAACATTGATCAGGGACTAAAAGACGGAAAGGATTCGCCAATTTGCTCAAAGATATGCATCTCATTGAAATGAGTACCCAGACAGTATAAATATAATCGTCTAGATTTTGAGGTGGATCTGGTGAAAGATGCACATTGTTTTTCCTTGGTTTATGTTCTTTCTCATCTGGATATGCCATATTGTAACATTAAGTCCATTAAGACTAACAAAGTCTAGTTCAATTCTTGGACTTGGGTCTCTATGTACATAACACTATAGGCACTAATGGCTGCAAAGGATACAGCATAAATATTATATATATTTTTTCATGAATTTTCTGCATCAAATACCTTTTGTATTTTTTTTCTACAGAAGAATTTCAATGTTATGGCTCACTGGTCAGTTATTTTTTCTGTGTACTGTCATAACCAAAAAATCAGTAGAATCGTCTAAATACCAATCTGCCTGGTAAATCATATCACTGCAGTAATGAGGATAAAATGTATGCTCAACTAGGAATTTAGGTTTAAAAATACAAAAGATCTCTGATACTGAAATTAAAAAACAAAGATGTGTTTGTGAAACACTGATGCTCCCGTATGGCAGCTCATGGCAAAAGTTAGTTTCTCAAATGCAAGTCAAACTCAAAGGTCAAGGTAAACAAATCAAAATTGTTGGTACCCAAGGGAAGGTCTTGTCACGAGGAAAACACGTGGAATATGAAAGCCCTAGCACCAACTGTTTCAAAAGTTATAGCCAAGGTTGAAGTTTTTCAAAAGTAGGTCAAACTCAAAGGTCAAGGTTTGTTGGTACTAAAGGGAAGGTCTTGTAACAAGGAATACACATGTGACATATGAAAGCCCTAGTACCAACCATTCAAAAGTTATGGCCAAGGTTAAAGTTTTTCAAAAGTAGGTCAAACTCAAAGGTCAAGGTCAAAGGGCCAAAAGTGTTGGTACCCAAAGGAAGATCTTATCACAAGGAATACATCTGTGAAATACGAAAGCCCAAGAACAAACCGTTCAAAAGTTATGGCCAAGGTTAGTTTTGTACAGTGGGCCAAACTCCAAGGTCAAGAGGTCAAAAATGTTTGTATCCAAGGAAAGGTCTTATCACAAGGAATACACTTGTGAAGTATGAAAGCTCTATCACCGACCATTCAAAAGTTATATCCAAGGTTAAAGCGTGGTAAAATTTTGCGAAAGTGGGTCAGACTCCAAGGTCAAGAGGTCAAATATATTGGTGCCCAAAGAAGGGTCTTGTCACAAGAAATACACGTGAAATATGAAAGCCATAGGTCCAACCAATCAAAAGTTATGGCCAAAGTTAAAGTTGCTGCGGACAAACAGACAGCTAGCCAGACGGACGGATAGGACAAAAACTATATGCCCCCGTATCTTCGATTACGGGGGCATAAAAAAATTCTATACACATGCCACTACCCCTTAACTGGTGCACGGACACTAGCAACGTAGACCTATCGGTCCAATTTTAAGGATTATTCTTTAAATTCTTAAAATCAAGTCAACTGATTGTACATAGTTCAACGCACTTTTATTGACATTGACTAAAATAAAACATTACTGATATCAAACATGAAATTTATAGGAAAGATTTCTGTGTAGTCCCTTGACAATGTCTAATTGATCTTTCCGAAGCGTCCCATTCTTCATGTGCAACCTGCAAGCTTCTATGCACTTTTAACAGAAATGTTATGTTTTGGACACGCACTTATATCTTTGAAACTCGACCTTGAAACATATGAGCAATTGAGTGTTCTGCCCTGGTCACAAATATCTCGAGTCAGAGTTTGAATGGAAACTTGTCAACGTGTCTGCAGTACAAGCAACTCTTCTTTGTCTGCGTTGCACCGCAATACTCCATTTTCAAAGAATATTCATAAGTCGCGCTGAAAAATCGAAAACGAGGCTAAGGTCGGTAAAATGTAAACAAAATGTCGGCGTCAGAGGAGGAAGGGAAGGGTCACGACAAACACTGTTGTGTACCATTTTGTAACGGAAATGGGCGAATCCATCCAGAGTTATCATTTCACCGGATACCAAAGGCGCCCGAAATGAGGAAGGCATGGATCCAAGCGATCAAAAGAGACCCTGGCCCCCTTTTTACTGTGAGTGACCTTCGAATACATGTTTCAAGAACACGTAAACAATATTGATGCAAACTAATCAGTGATCAGCGCTTATTTAAACAAAAATATATTACCATTAGTTGATTAATCATAATTTTCATACATTTATTAGAATACATTTGGAATGACATATTTATAAATCGAAATGTCATCTGATCATGATGCAGAGGCATGTAGGTCCTAGTGGAGTATGTTAACCAGGAAGTCAATCAGCTGTTTAATAGAGGTGGTAAAAGCTAAATATTACCGTAACTTTCTGTAATCATAAAAAGCGTTAAGTCCAGTAAAAAAAAAATCGTTATTACTGTAGTTAAACAGTTAAATATTAAAACAATCAATGACAGTGTTTTACATGTGAAGTTTAATACCCCATAGTTTCTCAACTTGAAAAAAAAATTCACATAGGCTACATGTATTTGTTATGAAGTATCATTAATCAACTGATATCCCTAGATGCATCTTCCATGCAAGTTTGTTTTGTTTAGGCTAATAAAGTTATGTAGAAATGCTCCAAAATGTTAACTGCTTCTAGTATATATGTCATGTAAATAATATTGAGTAAAATTCATTTAATATTATTCAGATAAGTGATCAAACAGTTGTCTGCTCTCGCCATTTTAAAAGGGAAGATATCAAATGGACACCAGTGAGGACAACATTGAAACCTGGATCTGTCCCCTCGGTTTTCTCCTGGAAGGCAGATTCCAACACTAGACGCCCAATTGTGAAACACATCCTTCCAGAGAAAATACCGAAGCAGGATTTTGAGGATCATATTGTGAGACATGAGGGAATGGATTCTACTCCATCAATGTTAATTGAGGATGGGTAATTTTAGTTGAATTGTTCAAGACAAGCTTAAAAAAAAGACATGTGATGCATGGTATCTGTCGAATATTAAAAGAAACATAGATTTTTAAAATAATGATGAAGTAAAAAGTACATAAGGCATAAGGTCATTAAGGTGCCTACTTTATTTAAAATACATGTATGCATACTGATGGAATATTTATTGACTTGCAATCTAAAGTTTGAATTTTTCAGGACATGTTTTACAAAGTCATATTTAACATGGATCATTCTCGAAAAAGTTATTCTTTTGTCAAACTGATGACTTGATAATATTCAGTTTGCAATTGTAATCAACTTTTTTTGAATGATTTACCTTTCAACTGCTGCTGGACAGTAGAATGCTGGTCATTATGTCTTTAAGGTATGACTTTTATTTTCATGTAATATAATTTTTGCAGAGTCTCATTTTTAAAAAAAAAAAAATCATGATTTTAGTTCTCCTCCTCCTGATGAAATGCAGAAAAAGATCGAGAGAATTCAAGAATTAGAAAGTTTGTTGCAGAAGAAGGATGAAGAAATAAAGGCTCTACAGCAGAGGATTGAGGTTGAACGATTTGGAATTCAGCGGTTTTCAAATGACGATTCAATGATTCAATTTTACACAGGATTTGCAACAATGGCTATGTTTTTAGCTTTTTTTGAATATGTCAAACCTACTGCAACCTGTATGAAAAGCTATTATTATAAATCATGTGATAAACCTAACCAGCTGGTAAATGTAGGCAAACAAAGAAGCATGTTGTTAATTGACGAGTTGTTCATGTTCCTATGCAGGCTGAAATGTGGTCTAATGGCACAAGATTTAGGAGTCAGATTCAATTGTCATGTTTCTACAGTTAGTCGAAAGATCATAACATGGGCAAACTTTCTGTATTTCATTTTAGGCAGCATGAATATTTGGCCTAGTAAGGAACAAACTTATGAAAAAATGCCCCAGTCCTTCAAATTGTTTTACCCCTCAACTAGAGTCATAATTGACTGCACAGAGATTAAAACTGAGCGTCCATCGTCCCTAGCACTTGGATCAAAATGTTATTCAACATACAAAAGTTCCCACACATGGAAAGGGCTTGTTGGAATTGCTCCTCATGGAGCTCTCACTTTTGTGTCCTCATTATACACAGGGTGTATGTCAGATGTTGAAATTACAAAATTATCTGGTCTCCTTGATCTTCTGGAAGAAGGTGATTCAATTATGGCCGATAAAGGGTTTGTGCTGAACAAAGTATTAGAAGGTACAGGTATTTCTGTCAATGCCCCACCCTTTCTTCTCAGCCAAGGTCAGTTTTCAAAGCAGGAAGTAGAGCAAACACAAATTATTGCAAAGCTTAGAATACATATTGAACGACATATCCGGAGGGTCAAAGAATACCATCTCTTTGATGGTGTCATCCCATTGAGTATGACTGGTACAATAAATCAGATTTGGACTGTTGCCAATATGCTGACTCTGTTCAGAGGTCCTCTTGTGAAAGATTGGTGTAAATAAAAAAACATAGTCAATGTGAATACACATGACATACATTTACTCAATTTTGAGTTCAGGGTGTAAGTTGCCATGATATTTCATTTTGTGATGTTAACTAGTAATTAAATTCTTACAATGACTGTTTTTATTGTTGATTAAACTGATATTGGCTGAACATGACTGTATTAGTTATTTTTCTCAAGATAATTTTTTACCTTTTGTGATAAGTGATGTTTTTATATATACATATCCTCTATGCAGCTTTTATTCAGTAAGCTATATATGTGGTACTCTGTTTTTAAGATAGCTGTACCGTAAAACATGCTTATAACAAAGTGCCAGGGGCAAGCAAGCTTGCTTTGTTTAAACCTAATTTGTAAGATTTGTCAGTATGAAGCATGTTTTAAAACCATAAGGATTAAGAAATCAATTTGCAGTCAGGGAGAATTCATTAGTCAGTATTTCATTAAAAGATGTGTTCGCTATAAGTTTGTTTTACTGTACATGATAAAAATTCAGTATTCTAAAAGAAGTGTCAAAGACCAAGGTTTTATTCAAGGAAGTAGTTAAAATAGAAGGAATCAATCTTGTTTTTCATTTCCTGCCACTCTTCATTATCAAAGTTAATCACCTCCAAATGGCTTTCATCACAGTGCCACACAAAAAAGTAACACCAGGTAAGACCTGTCACAGCAAGTTGCATCATAACTTGGTAGAAGTAGTTGTGGTTTTTCTTCAATCTCCATACATCCCCATCCTTCTTCAGATAAACACACTCTGTCAAAGGTTTTACAGGGCACTTTATCTCCAGTAAACCATATGGGGGGTTCATGGTTGGGTTGTATACCTTCCTATCAGGACTAGCAGCAAGCCAGGAAGCATAAGGACTGACAATGATTCCACAAGGGTATATGTTGACATTGTTGTCTTGCAGCTGCAATTTATGAAAAATTTAATAAGATTTTAAAATATGATATAAACAAAATACATGAATCTGACATAAGTCATGCATAGATTACTGTGTAAAAATGTTGGGAATCCTGTGAACATGCATACTAGTGATTGTATATTATGCTACAAGTTTGATAGAATAGATTAACATTGCTTACTTGTACAAAGGCTTCAGCAGCTACCGCCTCGAATGATAATCCACGGCGCATACTCTCTGTGACAACTTTTCTTGTTGTTTTCAATCTTTTTATTAAAGGTCCAAAATCTATGAAAAGAGTATATAAAATAATTTCAGCATACAAATTAAAATTTACATAAATAAAATAAATGCATAATATCATATAAAATGAGTCAGGCTTTAAGGTTTATGTAAATTTTAATCGATGTTAATATATATTGAATATTGAAAATATTTTTTAATGAGGTAATGTCTGCATGATCTATAACACCTTACCTGCTCTACGTTTTACAATTTCACCAGAAACTGATGCTGTTATCCTCTCCTTGCGAATCGCATGCCACTTCGGACTCTCTCCTTGCAACCTTGTCATTTCTTCAATTTGATGGCACTCCTCTTCTGTCACATATATAGAGGACAAACTGCCACTTTTCTTTTCATCAAGAATCATATGCAGTTGTTGTTGCATAACATTTTCAACAGGAAGGAGTGGGAATTCACCAGCATCTAAAATATTCAATACATAATGGGATGACAGTTTTTGTTGCACAGCCAGGGGAGATCCTTTTGGAAATTTACCAAATTTTGTGTCTGTATAGTTGCAATCCACTATGTTACCCAAATTCACAACAGTAAGCAATAAAGAAGTCTTGTCAACTGCCGAAACTCTTGAATAAAGTTCTGAGATTGGTGGGACATCAGAATTGATTGGATTGTACAAAGTTGATCGCAATCCACGAGGTTGTTGTTGAGGTGATTTAGCATCATAACCATGTACGACCACGTTGTCAGCGGAGCTTCCAGATATCTTCTCTCCTCGGGGCAGATGCCAGGTCTGAGGTAGAGAAGTCTTCAAAACATCAGATGGTATGAATGTCATGTTAGCAGATTTCATGTGCGCAAGACAAAATAGCAACCCAGTGACATGCCCACAGTGCCCTGACTGTCCAATTGTACAGGAACAGGTACTACTGTCCACACTCGGACCATCCAGCAGAAAGATCTACAAATTGTACCACAGCTTGTTAAAGAAAAACTGGTAACTGAGGCATAGAAAAAGTGTAGATCACTAGATACAAAACATATTTATAAATCTGACACTTTACAAATCCTGATACCAGTAAAATTTGATTATGTAAACATGCTAATTAAAACACGTAATTAGAAATCTTACAGATCCAAACTGATTTTTTTTCTTACCTCAATATCATGAGGTGATTCATTCCTGCGCTGTGATCTGTGACATTTTCCTTTCACTACACATCCATTTACTGCACTGTGAACTGAATTATTTTGGAAAGTGTATAATTTTGTTGACTTATTTGCTTATGAAAATTATATTTCATTATATGATTTAAATTATGCGACTGTTTCTTTCCATTCATTGTGTGTATAGATTATAACACTTGACCATCGTATGATCCATAAGCAAAGTGAAAGTTTAAACGGAGATTTTAATACGTACTTGTGATGTTTGTTACATATCTCTCGGAGAAATATTTATATCCTTTAGATATTTCCTTTTCTCCGAGACTCTGACTTCCTTTCTTTATAAAGCTCTCGACAAATCCAAAGGTAATATATGGTACTTTTGTCAAGTCTCGCGTTGCAGACGCTTTTTTCTCCTCCATTTTTGTTTATACTCGATACGACCTTAGCCTCGTTTTGAGTTCGATATGCATATTCATGAAATCTCATTAAGAAAGGAGTATATGCCGATGGAAGGCTGTAAAAACCTGCTATTTAGCAGTGAGGGATTTTTTTTTTTTGTAAAAACACCTATTGCGACATGGGAACCTACATGTGTTTTATTCAAAAGACCGGTTTCTACGTCCCGCAATGGGATTCGAGACTAGCTAGACGATTCCAGGATTTTTTTCTCTGGGGGTCTACCCCAGTTCAAATTCAAAATCCAACCCGGGTTGGTAAAAAGCAAACAACAACTTAAGAAAGGTCCGCTTTTCTAGGGGCGTCGAGGGTCATTTTTTTTACTTACTTTATATTTAATAAATCCGTAAATTCTGGGGATGGGTGGGTGGGTGGAGGTGTCTCCCTCTAGATCCCCGTATGATCTCCTTATTTTGCGACTCTAGAGCTCAACGTTCTAACCACTGCGCCACGCGGGCGACAGTAACTTCTTGAGAATGAATGCAATCTATATGGAAATCTTAAAAAATAACGACAGACATTATTGTTTGAAAAAACCATGTGACTTCGTTCAAAGGGTGTATGTGTATAACCATACAAACTTCGATAAGTCGAGAGATATTTTTCAGAAAAAAGGTCCATGGGCAGACAGGGGGAATAATTTCACTAACCCTAACGCTTCGAGGAATAGGAGGGCACTTGTTTTAGAGCAGAAGTACGATTATTTGCTATTCAATACTGGAACATCGTTTTTATGTCTTAAAATTTCAATTTCAGTTGTTTTATCCTTAACCACTTTATAATAAGGATAAGAAAGAACGGTGCACAATCATTTTCTTGTTTTGTGACGTTTACATTATATGACTGCAGTGAGTCGATCCTTTTAATCCTTGTTTATGCATTTGTAATTCGGTCACGTTCTGTTGGTAAAACAAAGTCGAGGAAACTTGAAAAATTACTAGAAATAATGATGATTAGCTTGCTAAATTGAAAATCATTTCAGTCAATAGATAGAAGTGCAAAAATTGATAAATTGTGACAGGTTTGTAAATAGTTATATTGACTTTAATGTTAATACTCCGAAATCTCCCTTGTGTGAGCACTGTGTTGTCTAGATATATCCAAACACAATCTGATACAATTTGGAAATCCTCTTTATATTCATAAACACATCTATCAACAACTTAATATCTACCCTAGTCTGTGGAAGAAAAGATGGGAATATCAATTTCTTCCAAACAAAAACCCCAAAATTTAGATGAAATTGATATCAAGAAAGAGGTTCACCCGAAATCAGAACGGGAATTACATCGGACAAGTTCTCGGTATCTAGATTTCTCCAATTCCGACAGTGGATATCCGACAACACCGCAAAATCCCGACAATGCGGAGAAGGTTGATAATTCAGATGTTCTGTCTATTGACGATTTATGGATTCCAACAAGCAAGATGAAATCGGACAGTCAAAGGAACTTCTTTCGAGACATTGACTCTTCTGCCGAATTTGATAAATTCTCCATGAACGATGGGATGTTCTCTAATGGATTTCACGACAATGAGTCGTTAACAACAGTTGATATTCCTGGAGCTGTCACAAGTAAGGATTCAATTCGTTCCAGAGATAGACGCAGGCGTGAGAAAATGCTGCGTTCTTCATGGGCGAAAAGCGTCGAAGATGCAGGATATGACGCTGCAAAATCAAGAAATGAATCATTTTCAGGGACTGAGGAAAAGTGGTTCAGGAAAGATTCTGTTTACCGTAGTTTTGTCGAAGACGAAGTGTCATCGGCATGTGAAAGTGATTTTGAAAGCCAAAGAAAACGCAGCACATCTAATCCGAAAAATAGACCAGGTGCTGCAAGACCTAGGCGCCGGAGAGTTTGCGCAATGAATAACAAAGCAGACGACAGTGATGGAGGAAAAATAGACTTACGTGAATACATTTTACCTATGTTAGCTTCACATTCATTTTTATCAAACTCTTCGACAACATCCGACAAAAATCCAAGGACAAAGGATAAATTTGAAGTTAAAGTGAGCATTAACCCCGAATCAAGCGTGTGTGAGATCATTCTACCGGGTACATTTCTTTTTCGTCAAGATGACAACTTCAGTAATGATCATGGATTAAAAAGACACAAATCTCTGTATTTGCCGAGTTCTAAGAAAATTTGAAGACGTCAAATAAGTTATTGTTTTTGCTGTGTTATGTCCTCGTATTTTAGATCAGTATAAATGTGTGTTAGAGATATTTTATACTTATAAATTATCTATACATCATAATTCTGTTCAGTTATTTTCAGTCAAATTCCCGCCCCGTTCATTGGGCTCATTAATTTTGCGGGTTTTTTTTCTTGTCGACTTTTTGGTCATAAGTCTTATAAACTACATGCTATTGAGATTTTATTTTTTTCATCTAGAATTCATTTAGAAGTTCAAGTACTAATTAGTTGTCACATAGTGAACATTGTTTGAAGAAGAGGATAAAGTGTTTACAATAATATATAGAACTAAAAATTCGGAGAAATACCTTGCTTGTAAATGTTCACAAACAGAATTTTCATGTGCTATAATTTTAATGGGTGTTCGTAAATTTAACAGTGATACGGTTCTTTTAGTTTAAAAAGTTTTGGTCTGAAAAAAATTAACTTGCTTCTAATCTCTCTCTCTCTCGATCAAAATAGCCGATATATATTTTGGACAGTATGCGTCTGTCAAGTAAACCTTCCAGCAAATTCAACATTTTAGACTTTAATTTTTATGTGTGTATAGAATGGGGTAATTTATCTGATTAATCGAGCGGATGTGGAAAATGCCATTTGTATGGGCATACTTGAGCTTCACAAAAAAATCTTGTAATATTTAACTCTTTTGAAATTTCTAAACTCAGGGAAGTCGTTTGAAAATTGATAATCTTTTAACACCTGCTTAAAAACACTGTTATGACGTTAATCTGAGAGTGATTCGCAAAATATCGCAATACATGATTATATAATTATAAGCATCGATGTGGTAAATCATTTTGTTTATTAAGTTATTCATATAAAAAGTGTAAAGCGGATTTAAAACATCGCATAACAATAACTGTTTTGATCAAAATGACATCAATACCTTTAATAGGTCTGCTATGGAACAGAAGTTGACAAACAATGTGGGGTGTTGGGATTGAATGGGGAAAAGGGATGGGGGTACTTTTTACAGCATGCCAGCTTTATAGTTGTGTTGATTTTTGCAAGAATTTTTTAATACTTAAAGTATTATACATATATTATTTTACATACTCGGTGAAAAAAAATTAAATTTCTAAAAAAAAAATAAATCGAGAAAATTTCATTTTAGTACAGGAATAGGTAGCATGTTACACAAAGTAGTTTTAGTTACCAGCAATGAATTTCCAGAAATAATATAAAGATCTTAAATTGATATATTCTGTGATTTGTTTAAATGTAAATACTTGTATAAAAGAGACGATACATGTTGTAACATGTAATACCTGACACCATGCAGACCAAATGGGGATTGGGGGATTTAAATATTTTCCCTTTCCTGTTTATATATTTGTTTGTGTTATTTGCGAAGCTGATTTATTGGCATAAAAACGTTTAACAGAACCGTTCGTTCATTTAAATCTTCTGCCGTCCTTTATCCTGTCTGCCCAATTTTTTTGTCGCTGAGAGATCGAACTGTCATGTCCACTACTGCGAAAGAAAATTAGAAACAAGCTTTTCTTGACAATGTACAAACCGTTAATTAGGATTTGATTTGAATTGTGACAGATGAATTAATCGTTAATTAGACACAACCGGTTCGTGCATGATGGAGACAAACGGTGTTGAGAAAATGACTACTAAAAAGACGAATGGTTTTCATAAAGGACCGATGGAGCTATATTTGGTGAGAATATCGCCTGCTTGTCGAGCTGTTTGGCTTTACATCATTCAGGTAAATTACGTCATCATTCAGTGCAATTCTGAGCAACATTCTGAAAATATTTCTTGTTACAATGTTTTGCAATGTAATTTTCATGTTTTTAAACTCATTACAATTCTATGACTTTTGAGCACATGATTGGAACACTGCTAAAATGAAAATAAAATTACGTTGTAAATAATCTTTTGTTATCCTAAAGTCAATCAAAGATTGATATTTCCTCGATATATTTTGATAGATTCAACAATAATTTTCATTCAGAAAGCGTATATCTGATAATAAAACGAGGAAGTTCTATGGATTTTTAATTGAATTTGATTCAGTCGGTTTTTAACAAACTTAATTTTGACACTCAAGAAAATTATATTTTAATTATTCTTAAATTAACGGGAGAGGAGGAGATACATTTTTTCAATATTTGTAACAAAACCAATTATGTCGCAAGTCAAAGAAAACAGGTGTCTACTCAACACTTAGCAGTACTCAGTTTTAAAGATTATGTGACTCCATGGGTCTTAATTACTACCTAATTATAAAGTGTGTGACTGCAGCCTTTGCCATGAAGCGTCTGATTTTATTGACTTTAAATTAAAATCGTTACTCGTGTTTACTCTCTGTCCGCACTGGCCGAGAGTGAACATTAATTTACAAATAACATAATAACATTCAATATATCTCAAACCAAATTTTTGAATAGATTTATTTTATTTAAATGGAAAATGAATTCTCTTGCAAAATTCACAAGAAAGTTTAATTTTGTTTCGATACGTCAGAAAATTAATCCTTCCCAAGAAAGTGGCCAACTTGCAACAAAAATATTGACAGACTATTGAACAGAATCCCGTAATACTTATCGCCCATTAGTCCGTGCCTATTTAATGTCGTTGACATAATAAAAAACGAAGATAACCAAACATTTGATTTTGTTGTCGCAACGTTGACTGTTAGTGGTCTTAGAAAACTTTGGTTATTTTCCTAACATTTAGAGTGCATAGGTACTCTCTGGCTTCACCTACGCAATACATTGAAATTGTATTAATCTTTGTAGCTGAAAAATTTCCATGGTATTAGCTGAAATAAATTTCTTTCTTTATTTTACACATAAAAAAGTTTTAAGAGTAATTATGCTTCAAAAATGCATTCTGTATAACTAAGAGCAAAATCTTTAGCAATGTTCTTGGGCTCAAGACTATAAACTATAAACTTAGTGTCAGGTCTCTGTTAGGGGATTTGGAATATATGTCTTCGGTCTTCTTAATTTTACCTAACTTTGATAATTATAATTGAATAACTCCGTATAATGTCGTTTGTCGATTACTTTAAATTCTTGCATAATGTTGTAAATAGTTATTTAATAATTGACTTATATCTTATATATATATATAACTTTAAATAAATGTATTACTATTTTTAACTTTAAATTATAATTAATAAATGTACACATAATTAAAATAGCGTGAAAAATGTTTTTAAATGACTTTTATCCAGACTTGTGAGCAAATGTTGACAGTGAAATACTTACAAATCATATAAAGGACAACTGAGAAATTATTTGAACTTTAATGATCATAACTTAAATTGGTTTTATCTTTAAGAATTGTGAATAAAATAGCCATTTGGGCAACTTTCCTGAAAGTCAGTATTTTTTTTTTTTTTATCTTTTAACATATTAATCGTATTTTGTAGATCCACATGCTTTGACATTTGCTGAAAATGCTTTTTTGGTTAGAATTTTGAAAGAGAAATTTTAAGTGCATTTGACTGGTTGTTTTTGTTTGCTAAATATCATTAAAAATCCGCGTAGGTCTTGTTCAATATTTGATGCATTTATCAGGACAATAAAAAATCGTTATACTATTTGGAAAGAGAGAGAGAAAAGATTTTTTAAAAGTAAACTTTTCCTTAGGGATTTTAAGAATTAAAATGATTTGAAAATTTCTCTTTAAGTGTCTGAGGAAATATAGCACTCGATTGTAAATGCACTTTTTTATGTGCATAATAATTTAAGAAAATAAATGAGATTTAAACCGGTTAAACGACACCGAAATTAACTGCTATGCACTTGCTAATATATTCTCGCTTTATCACAAAAGAATTCTATATTCAAATAAAAAAGCAATTGTTATTGAACATGTTAACTCATCAAAATGCCAATTTATGCGGAGACATGTTTTTAATTTATGGTATTTAAAGAGGTGCATATTATAGAATTGAGAAACTATTATAATGACTGTGAATGAGAAAAACCATTATGTTTGTGATAAAGGAGTGATAAATGTTTCCTCTATATCCACGCTGGATATAGGAGACATTTGTTCTTAAGAAACTTTTTTCCTTAAATGGAAAAGGGGGGGGGGTCGGAAAAAATATATTTTCATTTATTGCAAATTTATATCTTTCTTTTAAATAAATTGTAAATTGTGCTGATATTTCGAATTAGCTCACATACTTTTCTGTATACTACGCCTATATACCCTCGCTAAGTTTGCTATAAACTTTCAAAGCATTACTAAATATATCAACATGTATATGATATCTTATAAGAATTTCCAAGTCCTAAAACCTCATTCAACATCTGATTTGTTTTGTTCCCGTTATTTGTCATTAGAAAATTGATCTTCTAGGATAATTACACCTTAACGTAAACCATAAACTCTGTTTGTAAGAAAACTTGCCTATTTATATCTAATATCTTTTAAATCTCTGTTAGCAAAATAAACATGGTACATTTAAGCTACCTTCTGAGGCATTGAGGGTTGATACAGCTTTAACTGCGCAAATCTAAATATTGTAGTTAAAAAAAAATGACCGTAGAGAATCTACATTTGGGAAAGGGAAAAAAAGGGGGGGGGGTTCATTGGAGATCACTAGTTCACGCTTTACAAGTGCGTCGTCTTCCATTCCAAGACATGAAATTCCACTTTTCTTTGTATCTTTGCGCAGCCTCTTTACTGATACACTGCAGAAGCACTCCTGTCACTCAACTGTGTGTCTAAAGTCGACGATCTCACTGCATGAATAATTTGACTATTGAACCAACTTACAAAATTTAAGACCATGAATTAAAAAATTGCTAAGATTAGAATAAACCGTTATTTGCTTTGCCAAACTTTCCAACTGATATTTTTCAGGTAGAATATTTTTTTTTTGCAAAGGTTTCGGAGAAAATTACAGACAATATCTGACAGATAATCAGCAGTCAAACAAGAAGTATACATTCCACAAGTTTCCATGCCTTTTATAACTCTGTGTGGGGGTTGCCTTAAATTTTGTACTTCGACAATATTAATCCATTTAAACCCTAGTAAAATAGTGCACGTAGGTGTAAATTGTCGAATCCTCAAAATTAAAAAGGTTCTTTTTGTGTTTAAATCATTTTGAGAAAGTTAATGTATTCAACACCGATTTACGGCGTATAAAATGAATTGAGATTTAGCTTATTCCATCAGGTACGTTCATCATTCAAAGGTATACGGGTTTGGGGATAGAAAATCTCGGATCTTTTAAACAGAATTGGAAACATATATGTTTAATATATTTTATTAAAATTATAACAACAATTCTTTGATTGAAACAAAACAGTAGGTATGCACAGTCTTGCAACTAGATCTTTTTTTTGGCAACTGGGCCAATTTTTTCACTCCATAAGATATGAAAATGGTACAACAAATCTATATACATCAGAGAGAGAGAGAGAGAGAGAGAGAGATTTAGTCGTATTTGTATAAAGAAACAAAATATAACAGACATCCCTTCGTTATCTCCTTAGTGTATTATATTATTTAGTCATTTACAAAAGCATGTCAGAGATGTGTCTCATTTCAGAAGTACCTTAATTATATTTCTCTATAATTTATGATCCATTGGAAGATATAAATTAAATAAAACTGACAAAAAATTCAAGAGTTCACCCCTCATATTTCTTTTGAACTTCCGCAAATTTCAAGTATCATTGTGATAAATACCTGTACCACTCTAATCATGGGGGTATACAATGTAGGTACTTGGAGATTTTTCCCATTTGTGTGTATACTTTTCTGTTTACAATATCTCTCTGGAAATCACGGCACCTTTTGTCAAGGCCTAATTTTACACTTCTAGGAGGTCACGTCCAGTTCTGAAGTACATGTACATACTTCTGTTTAAGACGTTCAAAAGAGTAGGCTTGTTTGCACTTTTAAAATGACCTTCTCAATTTTTGAGTACATATACAATCAAATAATGTTTCAATCTAAATGTATGTAGAAAACACGAAGTTTCAATAATTTCTTTTTTTTTTCTAAACTACAATTTTCAAGAAGTTTTTCTTGGTTAGCAATTTATAGCAGTTTTCCAAGGAACTTTAATTGAATAAGGAAATCGACTATTTTATCAGTGTCATTTTTTTATCTTGTAGCATGAGATACCTCACCTCCTGATAGATGTGGATTTCTCCAAGGGACCCAAACATCTACCCCCTGCTTTCCGGAATCAGCCCCATCAAGAGGTCCCTCTTCTTGTGGACGGTGACATTGTGGTCTTTGAAGCGTGAGTTTCTACGTCCATTTTCTCTATTCTTGTCAAAAAAGTATCTCTTCATGTGAAAACAATGATGGTATGGTGACACATACAGTAAGACCTGTCATGTTCTAATTTCAGACAAGCCATTTTGCGGTACTTGGGAATGAAATACACAGATTCAGCAGGGTTTGGACTGTCCTTGCAGGATCAAATGTTATGCGAGTCAGTAATTGCTTGGTCCTTTGGTGAACTTTTGAGGTATATCTTTTTTTCAAGATAAAACTTTTACAATTATATGTATGCATGGTTTTCGTACATCTTTTTTGTCCTTTGATGAGTAAAGTATTCAACCGAGACTTATTTTTATTTCCAGATCAGTGGGATATACCTACGTGTTTCCTCAGTTCTTGGAGAGCTACTCTTTTTCTCCAGAGAGCGCAAACGAAGCTGTAATTGAAAAAGGCCTTCGTCAAGTTACGACTCACTTGGAAATCCTTGAAAACAATTACCTGATGAAATCTAAATATGTAGCAGGAAACAAAATGACTGTTGCGGACAGCTGTGTAGCCTCTGTACTCGTGCTTCTGGAGTGGACAGGATTCAGTTTTAAAATGTGGCCCAAGGTGGAAGTGTGGCTTAAAAAGACCAAACAACAGATGTTCTGGGACGAAGTTCACACAACACATAACGATTTTGTGCGGGAACTTGAAAGAGCCAATTTGGTACACCGTTGATAAAAGGGAACCAAGAATATGTCCCTTGTTTTTTTTCTTTATAACCTTAGGTTTTTTTATGTGATGAGGCTTTCCATGGGTTGTTGCAATACAGAATTACAAACCATTTAATGTAAAACTTGTAGTTACTTATCAAGCATGCTTACTTTGATCTCATCCATAGAGGGGGACAAACACTAGGTTATTTTTATGTGATTTTTCTTCATGCTGATCGATAAGCTAGTTTTATTTATAAGAACGTGAACATAAAAAAAGATACATGTGACATATACACATGTACAAGTATTTTAAATATATGTACATGTAGTTCTAAGTAACAAAGACCACCATTATTATATATATATGTATATCTGTCCTTTCATTGCCAGAAAACTACAATCATGAGGAAATTATATTGTGGAACCAAACATGGTGTACTAGTAGAAAAGAACAAAGTATTTAACAAACTTTTTTTTGTTTAAAGAATATTTTTTTAATTGAATTAAATTTTGTAGTTTTGTAATTTTATCCTGAAAAGGTGTCCTTCATTTGAACAATTATCATAATAGTATATCATGGTGATATATTTAGATATGTACACAAAATAAAAGTGTAAGGGTTAAACTTCAAAACTTTACTACAATTTTCTCTCCTTTTTTGGTTTGGTTTAAATTTTAGATTTTAAATATATAAGTACAAGGAAATGCTTATTAAAGGGGAAAACACAAATGTTTTTAGTTTGCTTAACATAAATTTATAAACCATTCTCTGTTTGAATTTGTATTTATAATTGTAAAGGAAAGATTTTAAACTTAACATGGTAAATTTGTAACATAGCAATATGTAATTAAGGAAAAGTTTGAGTATTTGACAAAACTTTTGAATTGGTTCTATTCCACCTTTCTGCTGCCCTACTTCACATAATCACACGACCTTAATGTAGATTACCTGTATTTGGAAACAAAATTCTTTCAATTTTTTAAAAGAAAATGTCTATAATTAGTTCTTAAATTGCTTTTTTGACCTTAGAGACTAAAGAAGCACGGGCAACGCAATCGTTAGTGTATACTTGGAGAATTTAAATGGAACAATCGCTTACAGTTTAAATGAAATGCCCTATTTGTGTATAGTATTTACTATTTATACTGTCATCTGGCAATAGATCTATCAAAATATTCCTGTAATGTATTGGTTACGGACACTTGAATAAAGTACTTGTTTGGTGCATGAGGACTGGAACTCCCGAATTAAGAAAACTTAATTCACGACTTTTTAAATTTAGAACTTCAGGTAGTACAAAATACTTTTAAGTTGCATCCCCAATTCAACCCCGAAAGATCACTTACTATCCAGGAATTTTTGTTACTTTTTAATGTTGCATCGAATGATTTTGCCCATAGGAACGGAGAAAACAGGGCACAATGTAAATATATTTTTTCTTTGATTTTTCATCAATTATTTTTACTTTGGTCAAGCTGACTTGAATTCCTTATTTAGGCCAAAATGTTTCTCAACTGCGTCTATCTTTCATTCAATTTCTTCCCAATTTTTAAAAATGTTTTTAAAAAAAAATTCGGATTATGGACAGCTTCAACTTCCTAGTTGTGTAATATTAATATTTCGACGTAAATACACAGTTTAGGAATTTAAATCAATATTTATAACGCAATTAAATAATAAAAATTGAAATATTACCTATCATTGCCTCTTTGGAGAAGATGTCAGTTTGATAAAATTATTACCATATTGTATTTGAAATGAAGTTGTTATGAACTGTGAAGAACTCTCTAGAATTTTATTGCAGGTAATAAACCGTATCTGTATTAACCTAAAACAAAACATACATGCACAGGGAAGCTGAAGTGATATGTACTTAATTCAGCATGATAAATGAACCATGCATGTCATACAAAAGTGAAAATACATGTGTACACATAAAATAGAGATCATAGCCCCTCCTCATAGTACAGGGAAGGTTGAATAAGTCTTAAATTTCGGTATAATTTATAATCTACATTTATGATATTGATTTACTTTAAAGATATTTGAGTTTGTACAACAATTGTGTATAAAATTAAACCACAACTAGAAAGTCTGCTATTGCAAGCAATATCATTCATTATATGATTGAAGAATTCCTAGCTCTCTGATTGGCCGAGATCTATGTAGAACTCGTACTAAGTTATCATAACAGTTATGTTCACCAGAACGAGACTTCTAGGTGAACATAACATTTATTTTTATTAACATTGGTCTAAAATCGAGAACATCCAGATTGATACAATTAGTTTTGAAAAGTTATTTCAAATGTACACGATTTTCCAGGTGAACATAACTTTTTTTTTGAACATTGAATCACACTAGACTGAGAATTTCTTAATTGATAAAATTCGTTATAAAGAGTTATTTCTATATTATTTATATTTATTGCATGTATTCATCAGGTGGCTAAATTAACGTAGTGACCTAAAAAAAACAACAACCCAGCAATAATTATATATTAATACGAGGTAAGTTCGCGGACACATTGATTTACGGAAAATGCAATGTGTATTTTGAAGATATACATATGTCTGATCAAGTATTCATTCAGCCTGCCATCGTATGCTACTCAACACATCCGGTGTAGTTGATGTAGAAAAATAAACGAAGTTTGAAGAGTTAAGGTAAATAAAGTAAGTAGAAAAAAAGTAGAAAAAAATCCTTGAAACTAACTTATTTGAGTTGAATGAAATAATCAAAGATACGCTCATTGTTTAGAGAAACCCTGTGGTCTTTGATCCACTGAGTTCATTGTACTGCCACTAAAAATATAGTAATACAATTTTCTGCATTTTATAACATGCTGTCTATGCATAGGAATTTGCAATTGCCCAATCGATAAAAAATCATTGATTAATATTTAGATCTATATACCAAATACCGTTCTTAACAATAGCGAATACTTATTATACACTTTAATCCTGGCTGGTAGAGTATCATTCACATAGACTACAAGACATAGACCTAATGGTGATTTAAGGAATTAACAAACACAAATGCTATCATTGAAGGGGGACAAAGAACGCATACAAATGCACAGAATGACAAAATCCCCCTTTTTAAATTATATCAAGAACAGGCTTCCTTTATCATTTATTACTACTTGTATTATGGATTAACATTCAACATAAAAATCCATTCTAACGTAGGAAGCATTATGTTAACCGAAGGAACGATTTCCATTGGATTATATTTTAGTGTATCTGTACAAATAAAAAAAAGAAGATAAGTATTTACACTTTCTTTAGTGCACATACAAAAATTGATCAATTTGGAAATGTACGGAAGTTCATTTTGCATAAGATTTTCAATAATCAATTTAATTGAAAATCTAGCGAAAGGTAAAAAAAAAAGTTTGAGATGTTTAGCGAAGAAATTTAGCTTAATCAATTAAATGATACAGAGAAATAATGCTTTTTTCCACCCAAGGCAATAAATTCTTTTTACATATCACAAGCAAATGTTAAAATGAATAAAACTTAACAAGCATTCTGAAAGTATTGCATTAGCAATACTAGTCCCCTAGCGGCAAGTGTAATCTGGTTCCTGATAAGAATTGAAAATGCCATAATTCCGTCAAAAATCAATGAAGCGGGGCAAAATGCAAACTTGATCTATAATTCATCAAGGTAAAGTCACATACCAAAAATCAGCTCAATATCTGAAAGCGTTTAGAAGAAAATTGCGGAAAACGCTTAAAAATTGAAAGGCCGTAATTCCGTCAAAAATCAATGAAGCGGAACAAAATGCAAACTTGATCTGTAACTCATCAAGATACACTCACATACCAAAAATCAACTCAATATCTGCAAGCGTTTAGGAAAAAAGTGCGGAAAACCAAGTGGGACAGACTGACAGAGGGACAGCTAGACAGACAGACAGACAGACGGACGGACAGACTCAGAGGAAACCTATAGTCCCCGCCGGTTTCACCGGTAGGGGACTAATAAATAGAATAACCAAAAATATGCACAATGAAGAAAGAAACCTACTTACATCTCGAAAACTACATGTAAGTTTATAGGCCTATATACTTGAAAGTATTTGTTACCAATCTGATAAAACAAGCATTCTGAGAGTATTGCATTAGCAATACTAGTCCCCTACCGGCAAGTGTAATCTGGTTGAAAAGGCCGTAATTCCGTCAAAAATCAATGAAGCGGAACGAAATGCAAACTTGATCTGTAACTCATCAAGATACACTCACATACTAAAAATCAGCTCAATATCTGCAAGCGTTTAGGAAAAAAGTGCGGAAAACCAAGTGGGACAGACTGACAGACAGACAGAGGGAGAGACGGACAGACGGACAGACAGACAGACAGACGGACAGACGGACAGACTCAGAGGAAACCTATAGTCTCCTCCGGTTTCACCGGTAGGGGACTAATAAAGTTCAGAACTACATTGCGTACGCCCTTAAAATTCAAATTAACATATTGCGGGGGAAATGCAATTAACCGTACAGATACGAATACAATTGTTTAAAACTTTAGATTATTAGTCCCCTACCGGTGAAACCGGACGGGACTATAGGTTTTCTCTGAGTCTGTCCGTCCGTCTGTCCGTCTGTTCGTCTGTCCCACTTGGTTTTCCGCACTTTTTTCCTAAACGCTTGCAGATATTGAGCTGATTTTTGGCATGTGAGTGTATCTTGATGAGTTACAGGTCAAGTTTGCATTTCGTTCCGCTTCATTGATTTTTGATGGAATTACGACCTCTTCAATTTTTAAGGGTTTTCCGCAATTTTCTTCTAAACGCTTGCAGATGTAGAGCTGATTTTTGGTATGTGACTTAACTTTGAAGATTTATAGATCAAGTTTGCATTTCGTTCCGCTTCATTGATTTTTGACGAAATTATGGCATTTTCAATTTTTAACGGGAATCAGATAACACTTACCGGTAGAATGCTTGTTTTCTTATTCCCTGTATAACTAAGGAGTTCCAATGATTGAATGATCTTTGTGTGACTTTTATAATGTCTAAATATGTTCTTCACCTCTTCTAAAACAAATGAGGAAATACCAGTTTAAAACTGCATGTTTTGTTATTTCTCTTAGAATATCACAAGAAATTGGATAGTTTGATATCTATTCAAACCGCCAGTAATACATGCTGATTTTTTTTTCTAAAACTCCTGATGGTACAATGATTATAAATTCAGAATATATAAAGGTTAAAAAGTATAAAAGGTAAGGTGCGTCGTTACAGCTGTTGTAAGGTTGTGTATAACCTTAAAAATAAAACCAATATTACACTGTAAAATGCTTTGTACGAAGCACCATATCTACCCTTTTCTAAATAAAAAAAATTGTTTATGCTTCCAGTTATAAAAGTATCTAGTTCTAAAGACATCATTATTAAAAGAAATTGCTTAATAAGTATGAAATATGACTCAATAAATGTATCGAAATTAACATGTTAGTAACTTCAAAGCTGAAGTGCATCTTGATATTTTTTGTATATGTTACAATTTCCTATATTCCTATGTTCATAAATT